TTGCTTACAATAAGGGTCCGTTTGGTTGCTCGTTTTTTAGGGGGAAAGTGGCTGAAAGCTGCCACAGATGGGACATCTGTGGCAGCTTTCCCCTTCAAAATAAACCAACCAAACAGGCCCTAAGTTTACATTCATGAAAGTTTCTAATCAGAATTTGACTTTTATAAACTATCATAAATTAGAAACTCGTCTTTGATAAATTTCATGTACAATGAGACCTAAGCAAAGTAGACTTCTAAATAATTAAGTAGATAACTCACCTATGCTAAACTTTATGTATAATCTAAAAGTCTTTAGTTAAGTAGACTTGTAATGGACTTGTAAATAAATAAGACTAGTGTATTTGGGGGAGAAAAAGACTTTCTTAAATATAAACCTTAATAAGATGGAGACCGGAAGATTTAAAAAAAAAGGACTTTTTCAACGAAACATCACGAGAGGAGTCATTTATTCAATTGAAGTAAATTTCTTGATTTTTCATTTTCCTCTCTAAGTTTAATCTCTTTTGTGCTTGCATGAGTGAAAAGGGATTTGCATCACAAAAATTTCTCCCCCTGTTATGGAGAAACGCTACGATAAGTGTTATCCACTTATTGTTTGTGAATGAAAACCAAATGAACGGATTAATAAATTCTACACGTAATTATAATATTATATTGTTATAACAATGACTTTCAAAAATTAAATACGGTCTTGCCTTCTATCATAAACTATGGAGATGCTTTCTTGCAAATTGTAGACTTAAATAAGTTCAAAGAACCAAGATATATTATAAGAATGACATTCAAAAATTATATATGGTCTTGCTTTTAAAAAATTATATTTATTTTTCGTAATATTATATTTGTTATAACAATGACTTTCAAAAATTATATATGGTCGTGCCTTCTCTCCTAAACTATAAAGATGCTTTCTTGCAAATTTTAGACTTCAGTAAGTTCAGTGAAACGGGACATATTATAAGAATGACTTTCATAAGCTACTATTATTATGAAAAATAAATAATCATTCTGTTTCCTTTCCTTTGTTGTAAGATAATAAAACACCTACTTCATGATATCATCTCATTAAACTTTACCTACTAATAAGGCATTTTTCTTAATGTCGTTCTCAATTATTCAATACTAGTCCTTTACATCTTTACTATTTTAAATTAGACGCTCAGTTATTGTAATTAAGGTCCCCGAAGCTTATAAGATTTGCAAACTAGTCTCTTTGTTAGAAGTTGGTTCAGTAGCTAACTATGACTAGTTTAGCAAAGGTTATTTGCCATTTTAATCTCACCACTTATGTGGAGTAACTGGTCATTGAGAAGTAGGTGGTTCAATGGGTATAGATTCAAACGCCTTTTGGTCGTAAACGTGTTCCATTTAAAGGATATGGATATGGATTTATATCATGCATAAGGGGTGTTATGTCAAGATGTTAACTTAAAAATAATATTATCTTCAAATCGAAACGGTAGCCAACTAGAGGGACTAATTTGAAATAATCTATAAGATTGAGGGACCTAATAGCAATTTCATTCAGTTGAGGAACTACTTTCAAAATATTAAACATCTAAAGAGTTAATCATACTCCCTTTAGAAACACGAGTTCGGAAAAATCTTTCTATGGTCAATATTGTCTTTCACTATTTTACATATTTTATTTATATCTTAATCTATCCTAATCATAATTATATCCTATCCTAATCCTATGTGAAGTATTTATAACTTAACAATTTAAAAAATAATATTAATAAAATATATAAAACATGTTAATGGTATTAGTTTGTTAAGATAAAGAAATTATACCTAGCTAACATACTATAATACAAAAAGTATTGTAAAAAAACCTAAAAATTTTTAAAATTGCACAAAATACCTTGAAATGTTCAAAATTATAAAAACTATCCCGACATCTAAAAACTTAAAACAACAAACATAAAATCAAGAAATTAATAGCAATTTACGAAGAATTTAAAATTTGCAGTTAAGATCTCAATATCTCAAAAAATATAGAAACACCCTCAAAAGTTTAAATTACAAACAAGCACCTGAAATTCTAAAATTTTAAAATTTACAAACAACATAGATGAATTCAAGGGATTACCATAACGTACCTGAAAATTTCTGACATTTCAAAACTTAAAATAACAAATATGAAATCAAGAAATTAATAGCAGCCTCCCAAGAATTTAAAATTTTCAATTAACACCATTAATGTCCCAAAAATTATAGAAATACACTCAAAAGTTTAAATTTTAAAAAACAATCTTAAAATTTTAAAAATTTAAAATTTATAAATAACAAAAGATGAATTAAAGAGATTACCCTCATGCACCTAAAATTTTAAAATTTACTAAAATTAAGTTATAAAAGTTGTAGAAAAAACTCTTTCAAAATTTAAAAATCATAAAAAAAACTCTAAATTTTTGAAATTTATAACCAGTACACATCAAATCTGAAAACTAGTGGTAGACCGCTGAAATTTGAATTCTTTAAAAAATTAATCTACAATTTAAATAATTAAAAAAACCAGCCACAAAATTTTAGAGTAGTAAGAAATATCATGACATTTAAAAATTACCACCAATACATAAAACATAGAAGTTACAACTACTAAACTTTAAAATAATTTTTTTTAAATGATCCTAAAGTTTTAAAAATTACAAATCATGCCCTCAAAGTTTAAAACCATAAAAAGGGCTAAAATTTTAAAACTTGGCAATGAAAATTGTAGTTGTTAGGTATTCTTTCATTAATATATATATTCTAATTTAGGGTTTACTATCCATTTTCAGCATCTAAAGATAGTCTAAATTGATAGTGGTAAACAAAAGCAATAAGAATTAATTAAATATATCAGATTAGGGAATAAAATTTTAAAAAATATTATAGTTTAAAAATTATCGTTACCATATAAATTAAAGTAACTGCATAAAATTTTAATAATAAGTTGGAGCAGTAAAACACATTAGTAACATTAATTGATAGATTTTTAAATTCATAAAAATAATAAAAAACTATAATATAATAGTTTAGCATTAATTGATTATAATTTAGAAACATTAACTCTGATGTTAATAATATTTATAGAGTAAAAGAATACAATAAATTATGTATGAAGATACTATCAGAATGTTTAGAGATATCCTTCAAAAGAATCAAGCTATTTCCATTACAAATGGAAAAATAACAAAAATAAATCTAAAATTCAGAAAACGTCCTGAATCATTTGAATTGGCATTAACATAAGACATGTCTATTAAAGAAGCACTAACCGAGTTACATTAAAGAATAATTTAATAACTTTATTCCAATCAAAAAAGAGTTCTCTATAGAAGATATAAAAAAAATTAGTAAGCATTCATAAATTTCATACTTTGCTCTTCAAATACTAAAAAAATTAAATATTAAGATTACAATCTAAGGAAAATTAGCAATAAAAATGCAGGTATTTAGTTTAGATCTTTGTGAAAATAACAAGGATAGAGCAAATGTAATATTATTGACGTAACAGAAACTCTTATTGGATGCACATCAGAATAATTCATTATAAAGAAAAAAGAGGTAACTCCTAATCTTATTAAGTAATAAAGTAGAAACACAAAGAATTTTATATATATAAGATTAATATTTATTCTCATTGAAGTAATAAAAAAAATCAAAGTCTGTATTTTAAAAAGTTTGTATTGAACATCGGAAATACATTTAACTTCTTTGTGAAGTTAAACGACAAGATAAAAGATTAACGAGCCCAGAAAAGATAACAACATAAAAAATACAACTCTATCCTAATGTCGCAATCGAGTAGATGATGAAGACACTACTCTAGAATTGCCCGAGAAAAAAATAAAGGTGATGAAGGATTTATTTTAGATTAATTAAAAAATAAAATAGAAAGAATAAAAGATAATATTTTTTAAATATTTTATAGAATAGTTTAATTATTTTGAGTGAATTTAGGAATCTTTAGAAGGGAGTTTCATGAGCTTTTTTCAGTACTTTTATATGCTTTGTACATATACTTTTATTATATGAAAATATACTGGAGTTAGCATTAATCTTTAATTTATAACTTCTTATAAAGTCTATTAATGATTAGGAACAAACTTCATATTCTCTTTTGTATCGTTTTAGTATACTTTTAACCAATCGTTTTTCCTTATTAGTTTTAAATATTCACCTTCCTTGTAAAATATTATTTTAATATTTTCACTTTTGCAATACTGTACTTTCTTAAGTAAAGTTGATATCATGTCAGTCAAAATAATATAAAAATTTAAATTAGCTTTAAATTATATTTATTTTCTATCAATGTAAATATCAACATGAAAATTTAAATTGGGTGTAGCTCATTTAAACAAATGTCAAAAAAATAAATAATCGCAATATTAAAGTTTAGAGACAAAGTGAGCATAAAATATTAAAGTGGAACTGAGAAACAAATTTTAGTTAGAAAACAATCTAAAAATACTTAATCATGGTATTTAACCACGTGCATTGCACGTGTATAAAACCTAGTATCTAAAAAATTCTAGCTTTTTTTTCAAACTTAGGATCGGTTGTTGGGATCAGAAGAGTCGGAATCATAGCAGGAAGCAGAACGAGGCGAAAACGGTAAATGCAGGAGCAAAACCAGCCAGTTGGGTTGGTCAAGAAATTTTGTCTATATACCGACCAATCACACTGGCTGATGATAGTTAGTTATACAAATTTCGGGTTGTCTATGATATTTTGGAACTCTATTAAAGCTAGGAATCTCATATGTTCTGAGCCAAGGAGTATTGCATATTATAAAAGAGAGGGATAAAAACTAAAGAGAGAAATTTAGGATTTTGAGATAAATTTTTTAGTTAGATTGAGAGACAATTTTATATGGGGTTCTTTAAGGACACAAGAAAGATTGTATTTTCATAATCTATAGTAAAAGAAGACACAAATCTCTTCTCACGCATGTAGGCAATTGCTAGACCATGTAAATCTTGTGAGTCGTTATGCTCTTATCTCGTTTCTATGGTATTTGCTTTTCTCTTTGGTTTGACCGCATGCTTTTGTGGATTTTCCACATTACGGGGTGATCGATTTCTCTATGAAGACTTAGGAGATCTAATCGGGTGATGTTTTTGTAGGCAACTCTTCCGAATTGAATACCAACTGATGCATAGCAGTTAGTCTCCGGTTGGTGTAAGTGTGCACCAGCACGGTTTAGCAAAGCCTTTAATCGTATGTCGCTGGTCTTCAAGAAAGCAAACTTTCTGATCCTACACCTAGGAAACTTCAGTCAATAGGTGGTGGGAGGCTTACTCATTGGTGTCACCTTAACTCTACAGACTCAAGAGGAGGAGTTCTAGTAGGATGGTCTAATGCATTTTCTTTAGTTCAGTCATATGTGGCAATCTTCTCTATTTCTGTCCATCTTCATCACAAACCAACTAATTGATTCTTCATTTTCACATCAGTCTATGCACCTACTGATAGGGAGGATAGAGAAGTTTGTTGGTGGGAGTTAGACCATAATTGCTCCATTCTTCCTGGGTCTTGGATTCTCTGCGGAGACTTCAATGTCACATTATCCTCCGATGAACGTAATGGTCGTAATGGATCTCCTAGAGATATTAAGTCTTTCAGGGACTTCATTTCTTCTGCATCACTTATTGACCTACCTTTATCTGTTAGAACTTTTACATGGTCAAATAAAAGACTCAAACCTTCCATGGCAAGGCTAGACAGATTCTTAATCAATTATGAATGGGAAAATAAATTTCCTTCATGCATCCAATTCTCTCTTCCTGCATTTGGTTCAGATCATTTTCCGATTATTCTTAACAGTGGAGGGCTGAAGACTTTACCACCTATCTTTCGTTTTGAGAGAAGTTGGCTTCATAACACAGACTTCATTCCATTTGTTTCTAGATGTTGGCATTCTTTTCAAGGTCAGGGAAGCTCAGTTAACATCTTCATTTTGAAATTAAAGCTCCTTAAGAGAAGGCTGAAATGGTGGAAAAAGAATGTTCTTGGATGTATATCTACTAGGAAGTCAGAAGCTTTGTCCAAAGTCAATGCTTTTGATTTATTAGAGGAGCAAAGACCTCTCTTGGATTCGGAATTTAATGAAAGGCAATCACTATAGATTTCTTACACATCTATCATCAAAGAAGAAGAAACATATTGGCTCCAAAGGTCTCGTGTTCAATGGTTAAACGAGGGTGATGCTAATATCTCTTTTTCCATAAAATAGCTTCATATCACAGGAAAGCTAATTTCATAGCTACTATTAACCATCAGGGTAGAGATATTATAGGAGATGATGATGTTTCCAAAGCCTTTCATAAATATTACTATGAATTATTTGGGCAGAGTAATAGTAAACACTTGCATACTGATTGGTCTACTCTATATCCTCAACAAGAGAATAATCTGCTATCCTTAGAAGACAAGTTCACTGAGGTTGAAATAAAAAGTGCAGTGCTTGGAATGAATGCAAATATAGCTCTAGGACTAGATGGTTTCTCTATGGCTTTCTATCAACTTTTTGGGAACTGGTCAAGTAAGATCTTGTTGCTTTATTAAAAAAAAATTCCATGAAGACCCATCTCATCTTCATAGAGTTAACAAAGTTTTCATTACTCTAGTACCTAAAATCAAGGAATGCACTATGATGAAAGACTTCAGACCAATTAGTCTTATCAGTTGCTTTTTTAAAATATTCTCAAATTTTTTGGCAAATAGGTTGTCTCATCACATGTCATCTTTATTTGCATCTACCCAGTCTGCTTTCTAAGCAGGAAAATCCATGCTTGACTCTATTATTCAAGCAAATAAAATGAGTCATGTCTGCTCAAAAAGAAAGAAGGAAGTGGCTATGTTTAAGATTGATTTTGCCAAAGCCTTTGATTCTATAGACTGGGTTTTCCTCATTGAGTTTTTGAAAGCTAGGGGCTTCGATAATAAGTGGTGTTCATGGATACTACATATTATCTCATCTTCTAATTGTGCAGTCCTTGTCAATGGTTCACCTTCTAAATTCTTGTATTATAAACGAGGCCTCAAGCAAGGTGATCCTCTATCTTCAATGTTATTTAACATTGTTGTAGATGCTTTGAATAGAATGATTATGAATAATGTTGAGGAGGGATTATTATCATCTCTTGGGCTTAGGGAGCCTCTCAATCAATTGAGGATACTACAATTTGCTGATATATTACTTTTTGTTAAAAGCTCTTCAAATGATATCTTCATTCTTAAAACTATTCTTTATATTTTTGAAGAAATATCTGGTTTGAGTATCAATTACTCAAAATCATCTCTCATATATTTTGGAAAAATTCATCATAACGCTTAGACTCTAGCATCTTCTTTGGACTGTAAAGTTGATCATCTACTAATCAAGTATCTTAGCTTACCCCTTAAATATGGCAAAATCTCTAAATCAGACTGGTAACCTCTGCTGGATAATCTTTATAGGAAGATGATATTCTCGAAAAAGAATTCTCTATCCTATGGAGGGAGATTGGTTCTCCTGAATTCAATTCTTACCTCTGTCCCTTTATATTATGTCTTTTTATAAGTTACCTAAATGGCTTATCAAAGAAATAGATAAAGTCAGGAAAAACTTCTTATGGATAGGAAAAGCACATACAAATACTTTCAAATGCTTAGTAAACTAGAAAAAAAATCTGCTTAAGTAAAGAAGAGGGAGGACTGGGTGTTAAAGATATTTTTTTGTTCAACACTTCCCTCCTATCTAAATGGTTATGGAAGTGTTTAGATAGAAATTCATCAATAGGCAACTTCCTTTACAAGCTTTATGTTCATGAAGGTATAAATCTACAAACCAGACAATTCAATACATCCAATTCATCATTCTGGAATACTGTTTTATCTCAAAAGGATGCTTTTTTCCATAACATATTATGGATGATAGGTTCTGGCAATAGAGTAAGATGTTGGTCTTTTTGTTTTGATAATATTAAACAAATAATTTATGACTAATATTGTTTGTATAGTATTTATGGTTTTCTATTTATTATAGACAAACAACATGTTGGAGGATGGATAAAATTACGCCATAACGATCATATCAAATGGAGGTTGTCGGAAATAGTGGAGTAAAGCCTTGCAATTCAAGTTGAAGATCCAAGTTCAAGCTTCATCTGCAAGTGTACCAAGATAGAGCTTCGTTAAAGATCACAAGCTTGGGTATAATTAGTTTAGGAGTTTATATTATGTGTGTTAAGTACTTTAAGCTTAAGATCATATACACACACATTTTATTGGTTTCTATGTATGTATATATATATATATATATATATATATATATATATATATATGTACACACATTTTGGCTTTTGGTTTATCCACAAACAAAGTTTTTACAAGCATATAAATAAATGTTTATATTCATACATGTTTGTTTTTACGTGGATAAGTTGGTTTGGTTTAATTTCATTGATATGAAAAAAATATATATTCATATACATATTCATATGTTTCATATTCTATTGTATTTGTGAAAATATTGTATTCATTATTTATAGACTATATAAAAATAGTTTATATCTTCTTTTAAGTCTATAAAATCATTTTATAAAGTTTTAAAACTTGGTTTATGTCAAAACATCAAAACTCAAGTATCTCATGTTTTTATGTTTTTAACTATTTTGAAAAATTAAGAGTTTTCACATTTAGGAGGTGATTTTTGAAAACCAATTTTTGTAACATGTGTATTATCATGTCTACAATCATTTTCCAAAATTTTATATTTTTCTGAATATTTTTAAACCCTGTTTTAAGTTGATATATACTGTTTAAAACAGGCTGTGTGCATGTCTTGAGTCGACTCATGAATAGTATTGAGTTGACTCATAAACTGTTGTGTAGTTTACATTTTGTTTCTGATGAATCGACTCATAACATCATGAGTCGATCTAGACAAGTTGAGTCAGCTCATACCTATCATAAGTCGACTCATAAACTGTGCTGAAAAATGAGTTTTGTTTCAGATGAGTCGACTCATGATCTTATGAGTCGACCCATGGTTTATGAGTCGACTCATGATTTTTATGAGTTGACCCATAAGTTGGTTTTTAGCCTGTAACGGCTACTTATGAGTCGACTCATGAACAGTACTGAGTCGACTCATAACACTGTAAAGGCTATATTTTCAGACTGTACTGTTTTTGGGTTTTTAGTCTTTTTGCCTTGTTTTTTCTTGGCTTTGGGGTTCCTATAAATACCCTCATATATCATCAGTTCTAAATAACTTAAGAGAATGTTTTAAGAAAGTTTAACAATGGTTTAAGTTTCGTTTAGTTTTGTTTCAAGTTTGGTTTGTGAAGATACTTTCACAAGAGGAAGTGAAGATCAATTCATTGGTGGTTGAGCTTCAATTCATCTCTCTCTCTCTCTCTCTCTCTCTCTCTCTCTCTCTCTCTTGTCATCTAGAGAAGTTTTTCTAAACTCAAATTCTAGCTTTCATTTATAATTGTTTATTGATTATCATTTCTACAAGCTAGTTTTTCATAATTGAGTTTAGTTTTGATTTACTCATTGTTTACACACACAACCTATTGAGCTTATTGTATTTACATTCATAGTATAATTTGGGTTGTGGGGAGTGTATCATTGAGTATGAGCTTACATTGTGTTCTCATCCATACTAGAGAACAATTATTTGTTGTATTATGCTTATTGTGAGATTCACTTTGTATTACACTAGTACATCGAGAGGAGTGTGTGGTGAGAGACGGGGTCGCTTCCAAGAGGAGTGTGGTCGGTAGTAAAGCCTAAAGAGAGGTGATAATTCCGAGTACTTGAGGAAGGACACAGGCTAGAGACCAACACTTAGAGGGTGTGGAGTGTAGTTGATAATCACATTTTATTACAGTTTTATACCCTCATTATCTATTTTATATGAATAAATATACCACTAATAACTGTTTTTATGTTTAATTGCAGGTTAATGAAGAATAAATCTCAAATTCCTATCTCTCAACAAAAAGCCCATGATTAAATGAAGAAATGAAGCCAATTGGAAAATCAACTTCCAAATTATCCAAAAGCCCAAGCTAAGAAAAAGAAGCCCAAAAGCCCAAGCAAAAGCCCAAAATCCAAGTCCAAAAGCCAATAGAAGAGGAACTCTGCGGACAGCAAAAGGAGAAGGGCAGGCATCGATGCCTGCATCGATGGCGGCATCGATGCCTGCATCGATACCTGTATCGATGCCTGCATCGATACCTGTATCGATGCCTACATCGATACGCTGGGCAGTCTGTTACGAATCTAAGGCTGAAATTTGTTGTTTTTGGATAAGATTTTAATCCAATGGCTCTCATTCACTGATGTTTACTATAAATAGGGGTAGAGAGTAAGGGGTTAGAGGTGTGAAAATTTTTGTAACTCCTTTTGAAGAGGAGGGCTACTCTTAATTGAGAAGGCCTTCCAAAATTGTAACTTTTGTTGTAATTAATAATAATAATTTTTTCACCACTTTAAATTTTTCTCTTCTTCTCTTTGTGATGAAGATGGAGATGAAGATGGAGAATTATTTGAAGGTTTGCATTTCTTTCTTTTTCTCTTTTATTGCTTATTAGTGTAGATTTATTTCTATGCTTGTAGTTTAGATTTTATTTTCTTGTTAAATAGCCAAGAGGCTAGAACCCTCTTGCCTTAGATTTATTTTATGATTATAGAGTAGATTTATTTTCTTGCATTTAATTCTTGTAATTTTATTTTGTAGTTTAGATTTTGTAATTTATTTTGTAGTTAGATTTTAATTTCTTATACTATTCACCTTGAGGCTAGAACCCTCTTGGGTTTAGTTTTTCTTTTTGTTTATTTTTATTTTGTTTGATTCGCCTTTAGGCTAGAACCCTCTAGGGAATCACCATTTTCTAAGAAGTGAGTTCAATTTTAGATTACCCATATCTATAATTGAATCCACCATCTTTAATTTCTTGCATTTTCTTTTATTCTTGAATTTTATTTTCTTTATTCTTGATTTTTATTGTCCTTTATTTTTTCCTTCTCACCTTATTGATCATACTCATTCTTTTTCAAATCCACTCTCACTTACACTTTGCATCTATTTACACACCATTTTTACTCTCTCAATCTCTTCACAATCACATTCACTTATCACTCATATTTATCACGCACACGAAATAAGAACCGATTTTATATTTTCTCCTATAAAACACCTTCCTCGTGGGATCGATATCTTAAATACTATAACTTGACACGGTTGTGCACTTGCAACCTTTTTGGTACATGTTTATGCCGCATCAAGTTTTTGGCGCCGTTGCCGGGGAAGGGTGCTTAAGTAGATTTTAATTATTTTGGTTCTTTAACTTGTGTGTTTATTGTGAAAGAACTACTTGGAGATTAAAGATCAAGAATTGGATATTGAGGAATTGGATATTCGCTTGTGGTAAGTCTTCTTCCTTATATTTTCAATTCCACACCTTTAGTTAGTTTCTCACAATTAGTGACAAATAGGATCTTAAAAAAAAGATTTTATTTCCGTTGACCATAATAAAATTCACCCTTCACTTTGACATTTACTAACAAGATAATAAATTCAAACAAATCCCCCCTTCTCATTTGTTTGATTGTTAACCCTAATTAAAAAAAAGAAAAAGATTTTTGCCATCCTTTTTAGTTGCTTTTAATTCATAGGGTTGCATTTCATATAGTGTAGGAATTCACCAAGTGATTTGAGCATCTTGATTTGACACACACTTAAAAATATTTTTAAGGGCAAAACCCCAAAATCAAGATAAGGTGAGGGATTTCATCACCCTTTCCTTAGCCCAAAAATCACTAATTCCTCACTACACCACCCAAGCCTAATAAAACTCATTAGACGTTGGCCCCTAAGGATTCGAGCTCAATAAGGAACAAGAAATCCTTAAGTGAACCGGTTTAAGTTTTCTCAGATTAGTTGGTGTCTAAGGCAAGGTTTAGGGGTTGCGTAAAGCGCTCCGCAAGGAAAGAGGTACTTAATTGATCTTTGATCACCCTCTAGTACTATCCTTACCTGGCTAACTACCCGGGTAAAACTTTTATCTTTTCACTTAAGGAATTTTTGGTTAGGAGCTAGTCTAGTTGAGTTAGGCTTAACCCTAGAGTTAGAGTGATTGAAAAGTGATTGATTTTGATTTGTTTTAGTTAGGATTTTCCATTTTCTTCTTTAAAAAAAACTAACTTTTATTTTTCTCTAAAAAAAAGTATAAAAAGAAATTGTTTTTGGTGCATGCAAAACGTGGATTAGGGACAATACACATCAACAAATTCATTTTGAACAAATGGCTAATCCACAAGTTTTTCAAAATTTATGTTATC